ATATAAAAAGAGTACGAATAGTTTGCCACTTGATAAAAAATAACAATGCTTATTATTGTTATTATTTCTCAAATATGTAAATTCAATACAAGAATTCATTATTATGGTTAATAACAAATTGCAAACTGACATAACCAAATTACATTTTTTTTTCTTTCTAATATTTTTTTCACAAAAAATAAAAATGTAAGTAAAAAATAAGAGACTGAGGGAGATATAATATAAAGTTATATTTGTCATAAGTAATGTAATTTATTCGACTAACAGGGATAAAATATTTTATAAAAGTAAAATAAAAAGTATCATCTACGGATATTGGATACTACCATGCGTATCCATGTGAAATGTATCTCGAAAATAGTGAGTAACCTCTTTACTTCAACGTAACAATTTAACTGAACTTAGGTTTCTTTTACTAAGATCAATCATGAATATGGGAAAAAAAAAGAAAAGAAAAAAATAAGACAACTTAGAATCGAACATAACATCAAATTTTGATTGTATTATAGGTAAAAATATACATAGATATTTCAAACTATTGTTAAAAAAAAATAGAAATGACAACATAAATTGAAAGAGTTAGAGGATTTCAGAGCGGTGCAACTTATAATTGTCAAAATTGAAGAGAAAATTTATATTGATTTGGTCTGAATTGTTTAACTAAAAAATGAAAAATTTGTTTAATTTTTTTTGGTTGGCATAGTTATTTATTTTTGTCAAAATAATAAAGAGGCATTCTATACGATGTGCATAAACTTTTTGCCATCATTTTAGATTTTTTTATTGGTCCATAATTATAAAATTATAATTTCTGAATAAAAAAACATAACAAGTTAATTATTGTTATTTTTTATTCGTATATCTATATTGTTTTCATAAGAATAATGGGAAGATATTGTCTTTGTCAAAATATTACGACAAATAAAGTTTCGCACGAAATAGTACAGATACAACAACTATTTTATTTTTTATTTTTTATTTTTTTTTTATCATTCATCACAAGTGTTAGCTTTACATTTTATTGTTTTAGTGTTACATATTGTAATTTAAGTATTTTATTCTTATTACTTTGCAAGAATTATATCAATATTTATTTCTAACAAAATAAGCTAAATATGATTCTCATAAATTTAGCGCAAAATAAGTGTTGGTTATTGATCTGAACATTGAGGGTGACCCATCTTGATCTTTACCTTAATATGATTTATAATAAAAAGAAAAAATAAAATTTGAAAGTATATAAAAAAAAACTAATTTGATATATAGACAATTATATTTTTATTTTTCTACTTTTAGATGGATGTTTATTGTCATAGTGTGTATACAAAGTAAAAATTAAATGATTTAGTGTTTGAACATGACATCGAATTTGGTTTTATTTACGAGTAAGAAATGGACTAATACTGCGAAATGATATTGTGAAATAAAAATAATAATAATAACTGAAAGAGTGTGGGTGTCTTAACCATAAGGGAGACAAAGAGTAATGGACGATATTGACTATATAGACAGAGTAGGACAATGTATATTTATCATTCAATTATTTAATAGAATGTTTGGTGTATATGTGGTCTTTTGTAATAGTTTTGATCCTAAATCATTGAATAATTTGAGCCCAAAATAGATAGTTTGTTTATTTTTTTTAGTTGATATCATTTGTTTCATTTGGACTTAAATTTGAGGTCATCTAAAGTTTACTAAAGTGACTACCTAGAGTTAATCTCTTTATTGATCCACAATTATGCAACTATAAATTTCGATTAATAAAATTAGCATAATGTGTTAACTATTGCTAATTGTTTGTTATTTTGACACATGTTTTTCTCTTAAGATAACGACAAGAATATATTATCGCTACTGATTTTTTGCAATAGATAAAGTTCAATACGACTTACTATAATGTATCAACTACTTTCATTATAAAAATATTTTAGGCAAAAATTTCAAGGAGTGTTATCAATGTGACAAAGACATTGAATATCACAAATTTTTTTTAAGTTGAATTTATTTAATTTGAAACAATTTATTACAAACATATTGTATTTTATAATTACATCCATTATATGTTATTGTTTTTATAGTCACAGACCTCTATTGTCTGATAATTATTATTTTATGATGATGAATACAATCCATCCACTAATAATGTTATATTTAGGAAAACATTTAAAATATAATGAATAAAATTTTTATTTTACTTTTTTATTATCTCTTTACATGTTTTCTTAATATTTTTTATTTATTTAAATAATAATTTATTTCCCGTCATGTTTTAATATCAGGCCGCGCAACGCGCGGGTGGCGTACTAGTATAAATGATAAAGATTGTAACAGCTTTTGGAGGGAAAATGAAATAAGGTTTCATTAAAGGTTTTGTTAAATGTTATTAGCAAACAAATATATATATATATATATATATATATATAGATTTTAACCTAAAAAAAAGGGTTCATTTTTTTTTTTATATTTTTTGTTTTATTTTTGATAATTCATTAAATGGATTTTTCATTTTTTTAATGGTATATATTCAGTTTTTTAATGGTATATATGTAGTTTATTTTAATCGTTTTGTTTAATATTGCTCTATTGATAATATACCGAAAATATACTGAAAATATACTAACTATAAACCCTGGATAACCATAAAAATAAAATGCTTCACCCCTAATTGTCGTGTAGATTCCATTTAAAATACCAAAAAATAAAATGAAAAAAACATGTATTGTAATTCACGCAGGTGTCCAAGAGTGGGTATATGTTGCATTTATGTTAGTATATATTCAGTATATGTTTAATATATACACATAAAATATACCATAAAAAATGTTGGTGTATGTGTTGTATATTTTAAGTGATTATAGTAAATATAAAACATAATCATGGTATATATAATGAAAATAAAAATATAATGTCGGTATATATACTTACAATACAACTCGTAGTGATAGTATATGTATTGTAGGATAATGTTTTCCATTATTTTACTAGATATAAACCATACATATACCGAAGATATATTGAATATAAACTATACAATACTGCAAAGTTCCAATTACAGGAAGACCGATCAAATATGAGGAAATGAAAAACTAATAACATGTTTCTTGTTGTGCTTGGAGTGACAACCGATAAATGCTAACTGAACATTCATATACACAGTCCTTTAATCATGAACACGAAGAAAAAAAAAAAAACATAATGTGCAAAAGCATCTCAAGCCTAGAACATAAACAAAGTCTTATTTCATACCATTCCAACTAACAGAACAACTGACTCAAAGGTGCATTGAACATACCAAACAGAACTGCAGAGATTATAACATAGCAACCCAAATCCCAATTATTCCCACAACCCACATCACAAATACCAACTATAAAAACAAAAAGTCAAAAACCTAATAAAAATCGAACCTTTTTCCTTTCCCACTCAGATTTCTTGGGACAATTTTTGGCAATATGGTTTGGGGCCTTGCATATGTTCAATTCATTCACATTTTGCCAATAAAAATCGAACCTTGTTCAGAATGATTTTGCCAAATTTTGGTCAAAATGGAAACGTGAATGAATTGAATATTTGTCAAAAAATTGCCAAAAATTGTCAAAAATTCACGGTTGGCACTGTCCTGTTTCAACTTCCTTGTTCCTTTCTAAGTGGGTGCTTTTTGTACGAAGGCGTTTTGGGATTGTTTGGGTCATTGAGATCCGATTTCTTGCGCTTAAATTTACTGTTTTTGTTATTTTTCTTCTTGTTCGGGTCGTTCGGCGCCGGCGGCTTCGACTTCGGGAAAAGCTCCGAGTGCTCTTCTCTTAACCACTTTCTGGCCGATCTTTGCCTTTGACTCACCATGATTCTCTCTCTCTCTCTCTCTCTCTCTCTCTCTCTCTCTTTGTGAGTTACAACGACAAGTGGCTATTGTTTGTTGGAGATGGATGAGTGAGAATAGGTTGGAGCATAATAAAATCCCTGTGATCTTTCTTCCTTAGAAAAGTGTAATATAATTTAAATGTGTTAGTATGTGGTGCAATTTCTTCTTTTTTTTTTTTGGAACCAATTTCTATAAATTTTTTGTTAATTTATCTATATCTATACTAGGGGGTAATGTGTGCACGGCCAGGCCTACAATATTTTATTTGTACTGTTAGTTTTTTTGAAAATTATTTTTTGAATGTTTTTTCACTTTAATTGTGGATTTTCTTTTTCTCTATTTAACCTTCATTTGATATACATGGTTTTCTAGAACTTCTTGTTGAGTTAAAAAATTGTAATCTTTTCGTTTGAAATTAATTATGTAATGACTTATGAGTATGGTCATTCTAGAAATTTGGAATTTGTGGGAGTGGTTCCGTTTTGTTTGAAAGAAGAGTTGAGGCTTCTATCTTATTTTGGAGATGAAAATCATGAGTAAAATGGATAAAAGATTTAAGGAGGAGATGAAAAGGAGTAAAATGGATAAAAGGTTTTGGTCAGCTTTGTTGTCATGTCGGTTGGGAGGAAGAGACCTTGGTTGTCTAATGAAGTCGATTTTCTTCTTATGAGTAAATCGGAACTTATCCGGTGTAAACTGAGTTGTCATAAGTTTACCACACATGGGTTTGAAGTTCTTAAAACTTGATCTTATATTAATTAAGCATAGCATTACCAGGTGGTCAACAGTATTTTTTTAATACAAATTCAAAATCTTATGGAAACCTAACTCAATCAAATTTAAAAAAAAATATTATGTTTATTTAACAACTCTAGTTAAAATCAAAATAATTTATATTTAAGAACTTTTTTCTTTATTAATTTTCAATAGTATTTTTATTAATAAAGTAAAATCAATATTAGACGTTAAAAACAAAGTGATGTGCATAAATGGAGGGAAAGTTGAAAAGACAGTAGGTAAAGACTATTGTGACGTTCGTACCGAAAAAAAAGACTATTGTGACGTGACTAGGGCTTGCCTTTTGGGGTTTCGGACAGTGAGTGAGTGACCATTAAGCCTGCACCTCACTCACACAATGGGCGGTGCTGCTACGCATCCACCACTCAGACCACACTCCAACAAAAACTCCTCTTCCCACCACCACCTCCACGACGGCGACCACCCAGCCGGCGTCCAGTCCGATCCTTTTCCAGTAGGCGCCTTAGTTGAAGTTCGAACGCACGAGCCAGACTTCAAGGACACATACTTCTCCGCCACCGTCTTATCTTTAGGCGACAAAAGCTCGGGGGAAATCCAAGTGGAGTACCGAACTTTGCTTGTTCCAAGAGGCGGATCGAAGCTTCTGAGGGAGTACGTCGACGTCTCGTGCGTGAGGCCGTCGCCTCCGTTGGAGGAGGCTGTCGGGGGTTTTGGGCCGGGCGACGCCGTCGACGCGCTGTACAAAGACGGCTGGTGGATCGGTGTCGTGACGCGAGTAGTGGAGGAAGATACGGAGAGTAGGTACACCGTGACGTTTCAGAACCCGCCGGACGTGCGCGAGTTTAGCTTGTCTGAACTTAGGGTTCACTGGGATTGGGTTAACGGGTGCTGGGTCAGACCCGACAGGCAGGTATAGAACACATTTCGAGCTGAATTTCAGGATTTTTTTTTTTTATTTGCCACCTGAAGTTCTGTAGAGAACTTGATAATCATTGTGTCAAGCTGGGTTTGGTGTTTGATTTTGGGACATGTTCTTTCATGGGTACAAGCTAGTTAAAGGTGCCTTATTTTGTTTGAGATAGATTTCTAATTTTTTTTTTTTTTTTTTTNNNTTTTTTTGTGGTTCCATAAGTTCGGGTGGATGGTTTGTGGTTTTGTAACTTGATATTTCGATAGATTTTGGAGCTTGATTTTATATGCTCCACACTTTGTAAGGACGGTCACAACTCCATTAGCACTTTAGCAGATATGTCCAGTGGTCAGATATGATTTCTTGTTGCATATTGCGTTGTGCGGTAATTGATTTATTATATTAATGATTTGAGTTTAAAGTAAATGTTAACTGGACTATGCAATGATTGAATATTAGAAGATGCATGGATACATTAGTCATCAATGTAATTAGTAATTACTTTACTGTTTTTGAATTTTGTGTAGAGTATAGCAGGGTGGATGTTTGACATGGAAAAAGAGGTAGAAGTGTCAATTAACCGAGAAGATGGCCAGGAGGCTTGGTTCCCAGCAACAATTCACGAACATTTGGTTGATGGAACGTATCTGGTAAAGTATCATGACGAAACTAAAGAGTCCGAGGCTCAGACTACCCAATTAATATTCGATTCCCTCCATATTAGGCCGCAGCCTCCACTTCTCAAGGATACAATTTTTGTTTTATTGGGAAAAGTTGATGCATACTTTGATTGTGGCTGGTGGAGTGGACTTATTCGGGAAAAGCTTGAGGATAGTAGATATCTTGTTACCTTTAAACAGTTGAATATGCAAAAGGAGTTCCATATGTCAGAATTAAGACCTCATATTGACTGGAAGGATGGGAAATGGTTCATTTCTCCACAGGTTCTTTTTGATCACTCTAGAATTTCTCCACCTTTGATTTATGATTAGACATTACATTTCTTTTTCTATTTTTTCCTTATTGCCATCCCAGGACAGATCTAGGAATTTATGTCAAGGGGGACCAAGTAAGAAAATAATTTTTAAGGGGGACGAGCTGATAAAAATCTGCAATCGTATACAACTATACATAAACACAACAATTTTGAAGTCCAAGGGAGATGACCACTGCCCTGTGCCCTCCATCCCTTTCATAGTGGTTTATTCAATATGTCTTTAAAAAGGGAGGGATATTTGTTATTTAACAAATTAGAGAGGCATAGAGTAATGACTATGTTAAAATTTGTTTTGTTATGCATCAGTGGAAGTCTTATGCTCAAGCAATGTGTGAGTCTGACTATCTGCTATGTGTGTGGGCATCCACCAGGGTATTGGTTTTCATTTCACTATGATCATAAAAAGTTGGCTGTTCTGAATTTAGGATTTTATGTGGCCAATTTTGATACCAGGAAGTTAAGCATCTTGTATGTTATGTTAGAAATAAGCCAAAGCCCTGACTCTTGACAATTATTCAGGATGTCAAGATCTCGTCTCCAGATGGTGGAATGGATGTAAACCACACATCCAACAATGCCAGTGCCTCTGTGCCAAATTTTCCGGTGAACAATTTTGGTGATAGAGAGAACGCTATTCGTAAAAAAAGTTCCTCTTCGCTGACCTGTCAAGACAGCCAAGTGGAGCAATTAACACCTAATTTGAAGAAAACGCCTAATGTGACACCTCGGACAAAAAGAACAAGACGTTCATATGATTCCCAAAATGCCTTCTCTCAGTGCCAGAAGAAGCTCAAAGAAGGACCTGTACTTGTAGAGAAACAACAGGAGAAACATGATATGACTAAAGAAATGTTGAGCGGTTCTGTTAGTCCAGTTTCAGCAAATAATGTGGAAATTTCTGGTAAACAAAGTGCAACAGAGGATCTCTCATCTGATAATGCTTCCTGGGGGAAGAGAACTGTAAGTCACGCCTTCCACTCTTTGCTTGTTGTATCTCATTTTTTTTTGTGTCTAATCAATTCATGATGAAAGTTCATTAGTTAAATTAACTGGTTAGTTTTCCATTGAATAATCAGTCACAACACGCTCTATATCAGTTAATCAAATTCAAGCGGGCATTGCAGGTTGTCTGTGTGGGCCATCAACAGTTAAGATTTTACTGTAATAAATGATGCACGAGAGAAGATGGATTTTCTATACCACATGAATGCATATCATGTTTATTAGAATGTAATGTAATATTTTATGGAGTTAACCTTTTAGCAACGTCAGTGTGGTTGAGCTATTGTTTACTGTTGGTGCCTTTATTCATAGAGTTCATAAATGTCATCTGTTTGGATGCACAAGCATCTTATTATGGCTTAGTCCATTTATGCTTAACGGATGAGTTTTTCATTATTATTCTCAGCTATCAAAAATTGTATCATTGAAAAATTTCACTGAAACAGTGATCTGATTATACTTCTCTCTCCCTCCTTCTCTCTCTCTCTCTCTCTCTCTCTCTCTCTCTCTCTTTTTGTTTGCCTGCCTGCATATGTATTGACCAATTGGTTTTTGCATTTGGATCTGGAAATCATGAAGCGGAGAGGGAAAAATGTTACACGCAAAATCAATTCTACACCACGTAATGTGAAGAATAGTGGTGCACGAACTAGTCAAGTTGAATATCCACAACCTGGTGCTGAGGGTATTCCTTTTTTCTCGTATAACCGTGTCTTCTTAAAACTTCCAGAATGTTTTTACATTTTTGTTTAATTGGCAACATGAGAATTCATTTGCAGGAAAGAAGCCAGATGCCGTGGATAACACTGCGGAAGATGATCAAAATGTGCAGGTTGTTATCGGTTTGCCATGCGGGGAAATGGTGATCTCTGGACCGGTAAAGTCGAGGGATAAACGGAAACACAGTGCCAAAAGCAAGGAAAATATGACGAACAAAGAGAAACAAAACTTACATGATGCCACTACACAGGAAATTGAGGTACAGGAAAATGATGACGAGATAAATTATCTTTAACACAATACTTATTCAACTAGATTATTCTCAATTTTGAAACTTATTAGTATATTCTGTGTCTTATTTTTCTTTTTTGCCATCCATAGGAAATTAAACTAATAGAACATGGAGAACTCAGTGAAAGGAGAAAGAGGGGGAGGCCACGAAAAAACCCATCTGAAAGTGATCAGACTCCAGTGGCAGGTTCCTTTTGGCTTATATTCTTTTCAATTTACGCTGTATTGGTTGAATATTAATAATTTTTTAAAGTTAGAGGAAAATCTCAGTATGGATTTGTTGGTTCAGATGACTCGAACACAAACGATGATGATCATAATAGAATTTCTCAATTAGAGGCGGTTGGTACGGACAGCTCAGAGAAGATATCACTAGATGGGGGAACTAGTCCGTCTGATCTCAAAGGTAGAAAAGGTGCAGTGAAGAATAAAACCTCTGCTAGAAAGCTAGAGGAGAAGGTTGTGAAAGAGTCAATGCAACAGAAGAAAAGTGAGTCAAAAAGAGGAAAGAGACGGAGTATGACTTCACCCCAAGTTGAAGGTAAACTTTTCTTCGTGGATTATGGTTCCCAAGTTGGTCATCTCATTTAGCTGTTGTGTGATTGGATTTGTCGACTTTACTTAAAGAAGGGTGTAGTTGGAAAATAAATCCTTGTGATTTTGAACTAGCTCCTTCTATCTTCTGTAAAGACTGGGATGGGGTACATTTATTAAAAGAATGCAAAATTGATGTTGGTGGTATTATAAGAATATTAAATTAAAATTTTTCTTTAATAATAATCAGATCAAATGTTGAACAATCCTTTTTATCACATCTTCATAGAGAATGAGCCTTGAGATTTCAGTATTCTGCTTTCCATGCTTTCTGGTTTCTGCACATGTGACAAGCTGTCGGATGCTTCTGTTCTTTTCTGGCATTGTAGATTCTGCTAATGTATCTGGAGGGAAATCAGCCGAAGTTAACCCAACACCAGGCGCAAATAATGATTCTGAAGCACCCAGCATTGAGCTTGACGATCAACCACTTTCAAAGTGGATTGGAGGAAAGAGGATACAATCTCCATCTACAGTTGATGGATCAAGTACATTCATTAGTCTTCTCTGCTTCCTAGCTTTTTCACCTTTGACGGAATTACAAAAGGACATCTTACAAATACTTAATCCTAATAACACTTTGGTTTTCCGCAGGGCTATCTCCCGTGACTGCTGCTGTTAAGCAATTCACAGAAAGCAATGAAAAACAGGTGGAAGATGATGCAGCAGTGCTGAAGGAGGCCACCGGAAATCCACAAGAAACCCAAATCCAAATTTCAACCGAGCACCAAAACCTACCATTCGCAAAGACCAGTTTGCTCTGGAAACCAATCTGGTCACTGAACGCCTTCTGTATGCTACCTCAAAAACCCCATTTCCAGCCTCTCGAAAGAATCAAGGAGAGTATGCGTGAAGGCATTGCCATAGGCCTCATGGTCAACTTCTCCAGTGCTGTCGAGACAACCTGCAAGCTGCAGTTTGACGACCCCAAGAGCACCATGGATGATATCCTTGAGACACTCGCTGAGCTGGAGTCGCATGGGTTTGACATTGAGCCTGTGCGGGCCTGCTTGGTGGGCCTTCTTGCTGTCAAGGATAAAGAGGTGGAGCTCATGGGGCGGGCTAAGGAGCTCGACTGTGCGATCTCGGGCCACCAGCTGGAGAAAGGCGAGTTGGAGAAGGAGATTGAGGAGCTGAACGAGCAGGCGAGGAAGCTGCATGAGAAGCTCTCGATGCTTGAGTCGGCTAAAGAAGGGAAAGAGAACGAGATTGCGTCCGCTGGGGCCCGTTTGAGGGAGGCTGAGCAGAGTCTTGAGAATCTGAAGCTTGAATTTGAAGGTATAGCTTCTTCTGCTATCTTGATGTAGGCAATGTGTGTGAAGTTTAGGGGTTGTAGCAAACTTTTGGGTCTTTCTTGCGTTTTGGTGGGTATTTGTAGGTACTGACTGTTTTGTATTTTGTGTATTCCGTAGGTTGTCTTGTTTATATGTTGGTCCGTTTGCTAGACTCTTGGATGACTATGTAGTATGTTAAGCACGGCATTTAATTTATAACTGAATTGTCGTTGACTAGTGAATTATTAAATTTGAAGGGTATGAATGAATGAAAATCGAACTAAATATGTGCTTGTAAATTATACTATATGGTTGTTATTTCTAGCCCAGGCGTCCTGGAATTATCAATATATTTGAATGATTGAATGTTGATTGATCTTGAATCGGAATAACTTGATCCTATTGATGAGAGTAATGTTCACGCTGAGTTCAGGGACGTTGGATCGAATGCACACTGGTGCGGTTGTGTGCCGATTCGTCCAATGCCTGGGAACTCATCTTGGCAGTGACTAAATCGGTAGATTGAAATTCTCCTTGTGCCACATAATTAATAATATCAATATATATATATTTTAATTTTTGGTTATAAAAAATATAAATCTCTTTATTTTTGTGATCTAATAACCGATGCCTAATTGCCGCGGGTTTTCTCTTGAGTTGTCTGTCACTTTCTAGTTTTGAGAGTTAATCATGCTAATGCTACATAATAACACAACGGATAATATAAGATTTGTTTACTATATGGATAACATAAAATTTGGCATAATAAATATGTATCATAATCTTAACACTACACATTAGATTAATTTAAAAATCTATATTATTTACAGTTTACACATACATCATTTAGGTCAACCATTATGTCATTACAATCATATGGACACACACACACACACGCCTCATGATTTATGCGTATGCCACAAGCTAAAAGTCTAAAACTAGCCTATAAATCCCCCAAATCTCATTTTCATTTTTCAAACAATTTCTTTCCTATCTTACTATCCCTCAAAACTAGTGTTGATACCCGTGCGATGCACGGGATGCGATAGAAAGAAATATTTTTTTATTTAGATACTACAACATTATTTAAGACAATATGAAATTCTATTCTCCACAATATTCTATTAAGTAATAATATGACATTTATTTATTTACTATCGTTGTTAAATTTTATTTTTATATATTCGTTTTTGTAGGTTTTGACTATTTAATATATAGATTTTATTATTTATTAGTTTATAAAATATTATAAATGCATAACATCATATGATATTTGCATACAAATTACTTGTATTTACTGAAAAAATTACCGTTTCTCAAGGTCTTATAATTTTATCAATAATTCATAATTTGTGCATTGCTTGATGACTGACCAAAGTTTAACCCATAATATTTATCTTTCGGTTTAATTATTTTTTTTTTGGTACAGGGACCTTCCGGTTTCTGGATCCACAGGGGAACCGACTAATCCGGAATCGAGCCGGGTAGGACCACAAGGGCGGCAAAGCTCTCCCTCAAGAGTTTTAACACTGCTGCATTCCCAGGACTCGAATACGAGACCACTGGTTAAGCTGGAAGAGACCCAAGCCATCTCATCCAAGCGCTCTTGGGTTCCGGTTTAATTCTTAAATGCATTAAATGTTCAAAACTTTGATAAATAAAATTTTATTTTTTAGTAACTTTAATCTTTATGCAAAACATAAATTTTTATGGTTAGATATTTTATTTTTATGTTTTCATTTTTATTTATATTTATTTCTCTAATTCATTTTTTCAACCTATATAATGAGTTATATAGTATCTATTCAAATATTTAGATATATTATATATTTCCATAATTACCAAGTGCAATACTTTATATTATTATACATTTTTTTTATTAACTTATTTTTTCTTTATAAAATAGTATATAAGAAAAAAATATTTATTTTTAAAAAATTGAATAGTTTTTATAATGTACATAGATACTTATAAGGTGAAATTTATGATTATGAATTGCACCCAACCATCAAATTTTATTCTTATTTATATATTGTAAATCTTCAATAGTATTATATGATATATTCAATGAGATATTCCTTTTTATAATTAAATTGACTACATTTTATAAATTTTATTAATATTTTAAATTATTTATTAAGTTATTATGATTTAAATATAGTTATTCTTATTATTTATTAAATGTTTTAAGTACTTAGATATAGTGAATATAATTAATTAGATTAATACCTACAACCATAGATGATAATATATTTAATCAAATTAATTTCCATAATAATTTTTTTTAATTGTATCAATAAATTACTATTAAATTAATATAAGATCTTATTAAAAATATATCTAATAAATCTACGGTTAAAATTTCAATTTAGGCCAATTTGTAGTTAATGAGTAACAATCATTGAGTGTAAATAAATTAATTATATTTTTGATACATAAGATTTGCTAATAAATAATATTAATCACATGCCAATATAGCCGAAAAAATTTCCCGCCCGAAATCATAACAATTATGGCAATAAGATTTGGTCCATTATATATATATAGATGTTGACGTCTGTAGAGGAAAAATTCAAAATCCCCCAAAATCCCCTTCATAAAAGGCGCGAAAGTGGAAGCCAGCCTAGACGAGGAAGTGTTATTGTGTATTTCCTATATTAGCCTTAGGTTCTCTTTAGGTAACTATAGCCTTAATTTTGTGTATATGTTCATGGTTAATAGTGTATCATCTGATCGAGATGATTTTCACCCCAAACTTTGTGTCGTCTCTTTTGTATCATGGTACCAGAGCCATATTCGATTGATTTTTTTTTTTTGATAAATTTATTTATTGTCCGGCTTCATCTCGTCCACAGGCCCTTGATCTGTGAACTTTTCATTTGTAAATTCTCATTTGAGAAGTGTCCGCAGACCTCATATATGAATTGTCCACATTCAACCAATTCATATACAATTCACAGCAAGCAGCAAGATTCCCATTTAAAAAAAAAAACTGAAATTTGTGAGACTTCTGAAATCATTTAGTGATATATTTGTTCCCTCCTTGATTGAGTTTTGGGCCCGCATAAAAAAAAAACCTAATTGCGTTTGGATTTCTTTCGCTAGTCCCAGCAAGCTTTTTTTTTTTTTTTTTTTTTTTTTTTTTTTTTTTCTGTCGGTGTTCTTTTCTTTTTTCGTTTGCTCCAATCTCTTCCTTTTTTTTTTTGTTTTTTACCACTTTTTCTATTAGGTTTCATCTCTAGCCTACCCCAACTTGTTTGAGACTAAAAGGTTTTGTTGTTGTTGTTGTTGTTGTTCTTTTCTTTTTTTCGAGCGGCCCTCGTCCAGTTTGTTTGGCCTTCGCCCACGTCCAGCAACCGTTGAGACAGTGCAACCCGGCTCCGTCTCTTTACAATTGTTGTTGCTTCTGAAGTTGTTTCTTCATGGTTGCGTCTTTAATGTCTGATTCCAACACTAATGGTAGCCGTCGTGTTGGAGCTCACGGCAAGAGTGGTTCTTGTGCGAATGCAGCGTTTTCCAGTGGTATCGGTGATTCGTTTGTTGCCGGTTTTGTTGGCTCTTCCACTTCTAGTGGAGTTTTGAATCCCTTATCTGGTACGCATAGTTTAGTTGATTGGATGTACGACTGTGGGGCAACTCATCATATGACAGGGTTTCTGAAGTTTATTTCTGATGTTCGAGATATTCCTGCTCGTCCTGTTCAATTGCCTAATGGTTCCTTGACTATGGCTAGTTAGACTGAGACTGTTTATTTGGGATCTCATATAACTCTTTATGATGTTTTATACGTTCCCAGCCTTCGGTGTAGTTTGATTTCATTATATCAATTGTTGGATCTTTCCGACTGCACCGCTCAGTTTACTAGCAAATTCTGTGTTATTCGGGACCACACTTCGCACAAGGTGATTGCCGCGGGTGAGCAGTTGGGTGGTCTTTACTTCTTTCGAGAGTCTGTTTCTACTGGAGTTTCTTGTGTTCGAAAGGTTTCTCCTGATATGTGGCATCAACGTCTAGGACATCCGTCTGCTCAAGTATTGTCCCAGGTTCCTGTTATTGATTCGAGTTCTCATAATTTGCATAAATCATGTGATGCTTGTTTTCGTGGTAAAAAACATCGTCGTAGTTTTCCTCTCAGTCAGACTGTTAGTCATGAGATTTTTCATTTGATTCATTGTGATCTGTGGGGTCCGTATCGATTTCCGTCCTTCTGTGGTGCACGATATTTTTTTACTATTGTGGATGATTGTTCTCGTGGGACATGAGTTTATTTATTGAATGATAAGACAGAGGTTGCTTCTACATTGCTGAATTGTTTGTCTATGATTAAGCGACAATTTGATAAATCGGTACGTGTTATTCGTACTGATAATGGAAGTGAGTTCATGTGTTTGGCCTCTTATTTTCGTCGTCAAGGGATTCTGCATGAGACTTCTTGCGTACGCACCCCTCAGCAGAATGGGCGTGTGGAACGCAAACATCAACATATTCTCAATGTAGCTCGTGCTTTACGGTTCCAGGCTCATCTGCCTCTTCCTTTTTGGGGTCATTCTGTTTTGACTGCGGTCTATCTAATAAATCGGACTCCTTCCTCGGTCTTACATGGTAAAACCCCATATGAGATTCTTTATGGTTCGGCTCCTTCTTTGTCTCATTTGCGAGTTTTTGGTTGTCTTTGTTATGCTCATAACCAAGATCGTAATAGTGACAAGTTTGCTGCTCGGAGTCATCGTTGTCTATTTGTTGGTTATCCTTTTGGCAAAAAAGGGTGGAGTTTGTTTGATTTGGATCGTCAGATTTTCTTTGTCTCTCGTGATGTGGAGTTTCTTGAGGCTGAATTCCCATACCAGTCAGACTCGTCTGAGCCAGATTCTTCGCCACCGCCTCTTGTTGTGCCCGTTTCTTCTATGCCGAATGATGATGAGGATCTTCTGGTTGTCCCTTTGCCTCATGTTTCTCCGGATACTGGGTCTTCTGCTACTGATATGGACACGTCTGGCGATAG